TTTTTTTTTTTTTTTTTTTTTTTTTACCCTTTTGCATACCAAAGGGAACTATTCTGCTGGTCATGAAACAGTAACTGAGAGAATATCCATTAATAGGTGTTTCAGCGCTATCTGGAGAAGCAACTAACGTTTTCATTTGGTGTTTGACGCAAAATGTTGATTGCTACAAGCAATGGGTGAGTTATTCTTGTTCTTTTCCCATACATTTAATCATTTTAATTCCAATTTTCAACTGATCTGGAATATTTTTAAATTCGTTCTCTAAAATATGCAATTGTATTTTGCAGGACAAGATTTATGAGGATAACCTAGAAGCTAGTGTTTCTGTTTTGAAAAAGCTTTCTGATGACTGGAAAAAGCTTTCGTTAAATCTAGCTCCTTTTGATGCTCTGAGAGAGACATTAAAAAGTTTCAGAATCAAGGTAGTTCCCTTATTCTTGTGCAAAACATAGCTTATATTCCGGAAGAATTGAACTAGTAGTTGATCGTTCTTGTTTTTTCTTTTTTCCATGATATTCTTTGTGGATAGAATGAGAAGGCATTGGCTGATGAAGAAGAGGATGATCGCCAGTCAACATATAAGGAGGCAGATAAGTATGCTAAGGCATTACTGAACAGGGTTTCACGAGGCCATGGATGTCTCAAAAGTATGGCTCTTATCGTCATCGCTATAGGCGTTGGTGCTGCATTCATGTCCCCGAACATAGAGTCTTTGGATTGGGAGAAACTCACTGCTTTCATCCCACAACACTCTTTCTGAGCTGCTGCCCTTCCTGCATTGTCAGATAACGTTTCGTATTTCGATCTCTTCCCCCTCTGATGAAGCCGTCCTAGGGCAAGGACCTCTTTCGAGTAAGGGAAGCCGAAAATCCCCTGGTAACAAAACTGCACCAACTAGTTAGTCCTTTTACATCCTTGTAATCCTCTTGAGGATACAAAAGTAGTGGTTGTAGTAAGTTTTTTAAGTTAATGCTGCTGCTCAAAAAGGCTGAATAGCCACTTTAGCATCTTTTAATTTGATTTTTGACTGTCCTTTTTGTTTCTTCTTCGTCTTCTTCCTCCTTTGGTTGTTAGATTTGTTTAAGTTATTTGCCTACTCTAACCTTCACAGTCTCGGCTATAGATGATCAGAAAGGGAGTTGGATACAAATGTAATTTCGGAAGAAAGAAATTGTTTCATTTCTAAATGCAATTTTCTAACTTTTAATTATGTTTTTAATCATATGTGATTCTATTGATTAGATTACAAGTTTTTATTTTCTATTTTGCTGCTGTTTTTCTTTTGAATTTAGTTGATAGGTTAAATTGCAATAATAATTAACTGCAATTTATACATTTTTGATATAACATAATTGCCTTTAGCTATACCATTGATAGTAATTAACTGCAATTTATATCATTTTGATTCACAACCGTTGATAATAATTATGTAAACTATATATCATTTTTGCTGGAGGAAAAAAATGTAATGATCCTAATTATGGGAAGAGTTTATCAAATGAATTCAATTAATTCAATCAAATTGAAATATCTATATTTCACCATACTCTCTAAAAATGATTCGATGAATACTAACCTAAAATCACTAATAAACACATCTTAAAATCACTTATAAACACATTAACATTTCTATCCGAATAATATTTTCTGCCCAAAATATAATTCTAATTTAAATATGATTGAAACCCTTACTTCAAAATTATAAAAAATAAATGGTCATAAAATTAGCTATTAAAAAATAGCCTAAAAAAATTATTAGTAAGAGCATATGTTAAGAAATGATTAGGTTTGTTAATATATATAAATTATTGGTAAGTGAGATAGTTAAACTCATTAATATATTAAAAGAAATTAGGGAGAAATATAATAATAATAAAAAAAAAAGGTTAGAAATTAGAGCCACGTCATTGGTGTCCGTTTTTTGTTTCCTTTTCTCCGGCGACAAGGGTTTTGTTAGGTTCGGGAATATAAGCTTCAACGTTCATATCGTCGACGGTTTTCCAGGGTCAAAGTCATAACGGTCTTCATAGCCGTTGCCCGCCATTCTCGGATGCCAGCTGTCTCGGCCTCCGCGTGTTTCACTCGGACTTATATATATCTCCCGCACTCACACACACTCTCTTCTTCAGCACATTCTCACGTTAGAACCAGAGCGCTCCATCAACGCCCTCTTCCCTTCCCTTCCCTTTCCAGTCTTCGTTGCCCAAACCGAAGGCTTCATAGTTACAATGCTCCATCAACGGCCTCTTCCCTTTCAGTCTTCGTTGCTCAAACCAAACGCTACATTGTTACCAGGCAATCGGAGGATGAGAGAGCAGATTCGAAAGGAGTTTCTCGCCTCGTCTCGGTGACCAAAAATAGAGGTAAATTACCTTCATTCTGCCTTTTAGTTTCATGGCTGGTTTGGTCGCTGTTCTTTCAAATTTTAAGGGTACAGTGACGATTCTTCTCTCTCTTCCTCTGATTTCCTTCAAATTTCGTTTCAGCCTTTTAGTTTATGCGTAGTTTGATCGCTGTTTTGCGTTTGAAATTTTAAGGGTACAGTGATGATTCTGCTCTCTCTTCCTCCGATTTCCTTAAAATTTCAGCCTTTTCGTTATATGGGTAGTTCGATCGATGTTCTGGGTTTGAAATTTTAAGGGTACAGTGATAACTCTGCTCTATCTTCCTCCGATTGCATTCAAATTTCGTTTTCAGCCTTTTAGTCTATGCGTAGTTTGGTCGCCGGTCTGAGTTTGAAATTTCTAGGGTACAGTGACGATTCTGCTCTCTCTTCCTCCGATTGCCTTAAAATTTCGTTTTCAGCCTTTTAGTTTATGCGTAGTTTGGTCGCTGTTCTGGGTTTGAAATTTTAAGGTTACAGAGACGATTCCGCCTTTCAGCAAAACCAAAAAGATACCCTCTAGAAAACTCCCACAAACAATCATAACCAACATCATGTATACCCTTTGGTGATTTGTGGTCTAGTTTTCTGGCACTAATTTTATTTAGGCTGTAATATGGCATGATAACATCCTCTGATTAAGTTATCAATTGTGACATATATGTAGATTCTTCCCTATACAAACCTTTCACCGATTTGAACATCATTCAGCTTTCAGTGTTTTATGTTTTCAATGTGTGAATTAACCCTGCAAAATGAAGGACGAGTTTTGTGCTATTTTCTAGTAAGTTAACGAGTTAAATTTTTTTGACATTTTCTCTACATTACATTTTTCTTAAAGGTAGAAGAAAGAGTTTGGTCAGCTGAAGAGGAAAAGGCAGAGTCTAAGAAATTTTCTATTTGACATCATGAACTACCATACGTCCGGGTTCTCGCAGGAATTACATTTTTGACAATGTTGTGGTCCTAACAAGGTTAGATTCCTATGTTTAACTTTTATTATGTCTTTGTTTTTTTTTTTTTTTTTTTTTTTTTTTTTTTTTTTT